CCTACCGTCCCCCAGTCCTCCACAGTACCTACCGTCCCCCAGTCCTCCACAGTACCTACCGTCCCCCAGTCCTCCACAGTACCTACCGTCCCCCAGTCCTCCACAGTGCCTACCGTCCCCCAGTCCTCCACAGTGCCTACCGTCCCCCCCAGTTCCCACAGTGCCCTCTGCTGATAGTCACGTGCAGACCTGTCAGGCCCTGAGCACAGCACTCCTGGAGAACAGTAAGGACAGTGAGGCGCAGGCTGGTCTGTGGTCGTGAGTGCTCTGAGTGCAGGACTTGCCGTATTATGCCCTTCATTCCAACCTGGCTGGATCATCTGTGTGTTGGGGGCCCAGTTGCAGAGTCCCTCTCGTTGCTTCCTTGCATCCGCTGGCCTTCTTGGGTTTGTCACCTACACCTGTCCTCTTGGTGTCAGCTCCTTCCTCACCCTTACATCTCCTTGTTGCCAGGTGCCGTGACGTGCTTGCACAGGTTAGTCAGGGAGACACTACAGCAGCCCCCTGCTAGGGTGGCGTTGACTGTCCCCAGCACACACCATCTCTAAGTGGTTCTGTTTCTCCTGAAAGTGTTGCCTCACCCTCCCAGCAGCTCCATTCCCCGGGGTCTTTTTGTCCTTTCCTGTCCAATCTTCCTGTCTCTGGCCCCAGAAATCAGTTGTACTTCTTGGCAACCCTGTGGCCTGCTTCTGGTGGTCGGAGCCTTCTACATGTCACAGCCCTGCAAGCTATAGAAAGGGCAGCACCCCGCCTCCACCCCCTACCCACACCAGTGAGCCGGTGGTCTGGAAGGGACAATCTCTGTCCCAGACTGAGGGTCCTGGTGTAAGGGTCCAGAGATTGGTCTAACTGATGGAGATGCAGAAAAGACAACGACAATGCAACTGCATATTCTTTTTCCAGCTAGCTGGGGTCCGTCACAGCAGACCTTAACAAGGACCCCGTACCTAAGATAAAGGGACCTTTTATAGTTCAGGATTTTCCCTAGAATGTAACACACACAAAAGAGGGGGGTATGAGAAGCGAGTGTCCAGCTGTCACCACCTGCTCAGGTCTAGATAAGGGCTCTCAGCTAAGGGTCTGCATGACCTTGCCTCGGAAGTGCTGGGCCCTCCTGTTTTCCACTTATTTGAGAGCTCCCAGACTTCTGGTTTCCATCCTTGAGGCCCTAACAAAGTGGGCTCTGTCCTTGAAGACTTAACAGGGTAGCAATTAAGCTAACTTGCCCCAGCATTCCCTAACATGGCGGTGATTATGCTAACTTGGCCTAACATTGGCATCCTTGCAGGTGGGGAGTCCTTGGCTGACCCTGTTGCACCAGGTGCCATGGCCCAGGCAGCCGCACACTCAAGCCCTGGGGCTTGCTGACGCCCCAGACACCGTCCAGCCTGAGGAGCGTCACTGTGTGCCTGTTCTCCCGGCAGGACACCGGACCTCCACTTAGCCCACTTACCTTACCCAGCCTCGCAGGACCCAGTCAGGTTCGCAGGGCAAGAAACCAGCAGGCGGGGTAGAAGTGCTCTTGCCCCAGGTGCCTTCAAGACTTCTGAGCTCTTCTAAAGCTCCTGCATTAGGTGTGAACATTTTATGATGTGTACCTTTTTCCGTTGAAGGCATAATTCTGTAATTAAAAAGGTCTTTTAAACAACAAAAAATGTTGATATTTATAAAGCTCTGGGGGACAGGAACATGGCGATTAAGTCTTCCATTTTTTATAAAGCTCCCCCCTCTATTTTTTTATGTTCAAAAATTTTTACAATAAAAAGAAATTTTTAAATGATATGAATAGTTCCACAGAACTCCCAAACATGACTTGTTTAATTAACCTTCCTTTATTTGTAAAAGTTACAAAAAGTCAACTCCAGGAAACTGCACTGCTGAGTTCTGACGCTCATTGACATCACCGGCTATGCTCAAGGAGCGACGCGTGGCTAAGCTTTCATGTTCAAATTCAGTTATATTTCAGAGTCGTTGGCGTTGCTATTGACGTGCCAGTCTGGGTGCCCAAGCCCCACGTGGATCTGAAAATCTGCATGTATGACCGGCTATACCAGGACTCCATCACCGTCCACACTCGGTGAGCCCCCTGGTGGTTAACCGGAGTACAGCGCCTGGAGACCGCCTGGGCTACCTCCCAGACCAGGGTCACCTTACAGTGCAAAGGGGATGTAGCAGAAGTCGTTAGGTTAAAGACCTTGAGGTGGGAGAGGTCCAGGAGGTTCCAGTGTCACCACAGATGTCCCCATGAGACAGGTAAGAGGATCAGGGTCACAGAGAGGTTGGAAGTCACCATGCTTATTGGCTATGAAGACAGAAAAAAGGCCTTTGTACCTCGGGAATGCCAGAGCCTATATAAGCTAGAAAATGAAAGGAATGGACTTGTCCCTGAAGGCTCCCGGAAGAACCACCCCTGCTGACAGCTTGACCTTAGCCCAGTAAGGCCTGTCTTGGACCACTGCCTTCCAGGGCTCAGGGAGGGCGTCGGTGTTGTTTTAGGTCCTGAGTTCATGGTACATGGTTTCAGCAGTCACAGGACACTCACACCCACACAGTCCCCAGCCAAGGCCAGAGCCCTTAGACAAAATGCAGCAGCACTAGGAAACACTGAGGAAGCCCTGGGAAAGAAACGTGGTTTTTTCATTTTTGTTTTTTTTTTTTAAAGGCTTTAAATTTTTTTTTTTCTAACTTCATTTATTTATTTTAATTTTGACCAGAGAGGGACAGAGTGAGAGGGAAAGCAAGCGGCCAGGTCCAGACTCAAACTGTGGTAGACCATGTGGGAGTCCAGCGCCCTCAACCATCATGCCACCTGCCAGCCCCAAGAAATGTGTTTTTATTTACAGTGTTTTGCAAGGGGATCCAGACAGAACACTTTTCACTGAAATACAAAGGGTCTTCAGGGCCAGGCAGGCGACATAGTGGTTAAGGTGGCTGGATCCCATATGGCTGACTACACACTTTGGGTCCTAGACCCGGCTTTTTTTTTTTTTTGGAGAGGTGTTTGCTATAGGGCGCGTGCACTCACCAGAAAGACAGAGAGAGACAAAAAGACAGAAAGCTAGAAATCACCCCCCAAGGGGGATGGCCATGCCACAATCCCTTCTCCTCCATTCTCCTCTCAGGGATCTTGGGCACACACGCACACGTGCCCAGTATGAGTTTAAGCCACCAGGTCTGGGACTCAAACTGTGGTCGGCTACATGGGAGTCCAGCAACATAGCCATTACTCCAACTGCTGGTTCCAGGACCCGGCAATTTGAAAGACACACTGGGCACTTGTGCATGCATGCCCAGAATCCTGAAAGAACAATGGAAGAGGGGGTTGTGGCATGACCATTCCTCCTCGGGGGGGGGGGCTTTCTACCTTTCCTTCTCTCTCTCTCTCTCTCCTCTCTCTCTCTCTCTCTCTCTCTCTCTGGTAAGTGCACACATCTTATAGCAAAGAAAAAAGAAAAAAAGAAAGAAAGAAAGAAAGAAAGAAAGAAAGAAAGCAAGCTCTTCAGAAAGTCTGTGGGAGGGGCTGGCAGGTGGCGTGATTAAGGGCACTAGATTCCCACAGGGCCAACCGTGGTCTGAGTCCCAGACCAGGCAGCTTGCTTTCTCTCTCTCTCTCCCTCTCTCTCTCTCTTTCCTTCCCTCCCTCCCTCTCTGGTCAAATTTAAATAAACAAAGTTGAATAAAATAATTATTAAAAAAAAAAAGAAAGTCATGGGAATGAATATTATGAATAAAACTATGCTATTCAAAAATTTTTATATAAAAATAAACTCCTAGACCAAAGGGCAGGACGCTCCTGACAGAGCCCTTCCCCAAAGGCACCTGTGCCCACGTAGAAATGGACTCCTGCTGATGTCGTGTCTGGGCAGTAGTGCTCCATGAGCAGGCTGCCTGCGGGCGACCCAAGCACCGTGTCCTGTGACTGCTAGGTCTACAGGAGTCTGCACACCTCTGCCGTCGGTGCCACGCACTCATGCACTCATGGATAAAGTGAGCTGGGAACCTAAAAGCAAGTGCCCCGTGCCTGGCCTGTCTCGGGGGCTCTGCTTTGCCGGTTTACCGCTGATGCACACACTCTTGCTTTCTGACCTGTGCTGTGCTTCCCGGCCCTGTGGGGAGGAGCAGAGGGGCAAAGGAGTGGTTCCTCAGCCCTGCATCAAAGCACACATTTGACGATGCAAATTTGTTTAGTGATTTTTTTTTTTAAATTTTTGCCATAGGGCACATGCTCCTGCCAGAAAAAGACAGAAGACCAGCAGATGGCTGGACTCCCACGTAGTCAGCTGCGGTTTAAGTTCCAGATCTGGTGGCTTAAAACTCACACCAGGTGCATGTGCATGCATGCTCAAATATTCTGAGAGGAGAATGGAGGAGAAGGGATTGCAGCATGGCCATCCCTCCTGGGAGGGGGTGATTTCTCGCTCTCTCTCTCTCTCTCTCTGGCAAGTACATGCGCCCTACAGTGAAAATCTCTCTCAAAAAAGAAAAAGAGGAAAAGACACAGAAAGAGAGAGAGATGGAAAGTAAGAAATCACCCCCCAGGGGGATGGCCACACTGCAATCACTTCTCTATTCTCCTCCCAGGATTGTGGGCACACACACATGCGCATGCACCCAGTGTGTTTTTCAAGCTACTGAGTCCAGGATTCAAACCAGTCAGTCAGTCATGTGGGATCCAGCCACCTTAACCACTATGTACTATGTCACTGGCTGGCCCTGTTTAGTGATTTGTCAATTTTAATATCAGTCACGTGTTGATAAATTTAATGTGGCCGGTCTGATGGACTTGGGTGTAGCAACAATGTGTATTCATCAAGACTCCATGTCTTGTGTGCACCAGGAAGGGCCAGAGTATGGGAAGCAGGAAGCAGAAAGCAGGGCTGGGTGGCTACTGAGTGGCTAGAACACGGCCTCTGAGCACCTCAATGCTGGCCTTTCATGTGTGGGTGGGGATGCTCCACAGTAGAGCGCAGAGGGCCTGCCAGCCGTGGTGGCAGAGGTGCGTTGTGAGGTGCATGCAGGGACAGTCGGTGTGGATGGAGACAGGTTCCACGGCTGTGGTCGCTATCCAGGCCAGGAGCAAGGGAGGACAGAGATGCCTGTGGCTTTCATGGTCCTCCTGGTCCTCCCTTGGCCACAACTGCCGTTGGCCACAGAAAGCCTTGTGCTGCAGGAAGTGTGGATACCCAGCTGCCCGGGACTGGCCAGGACCAGGGCCAGTCTCACGTGTCAAGTCCCCTCCAGTCCCCTGTATCCAGAGGCTGCCTGGCAGATTTTTGAGAAAACACTTAAGTTTTTTAGAACAGATTAGGACGATGTCTCAATTGCTATATAATTATTTTTTAAACAATTATTCCTTTAATTGTTTTTGTTTGTTTGTTTAATTTGACCAGAGACTAAGAAAGGGAAAGTGAGAAAGCACGTTGCCTGGTCCAGGCCTCAAACCATCGTGGGCCATGGGGGATTCCAGCGCCTTAACTTAACCACCACGCCACCTGCTGGCCCCACTGTATAGTTATTTTTAAGACTTGCTCATAGAATTTTATTTCAGAAAAACCAGCCCTTGCAAAGCAGGGCTTTGATTCCCTGATAGTCCAGGTGCCCGCGCTTGCCTGGATTGAGAGTGCACCCAGCACCTGCAGATAGTGCAGTTATTGGGAATATTTTAGCGACACTGCAGAGGAGCACACACAGCATCAGCGTCCTGTGACGCCCTGACCCAGGCCCCATGACACGCCCACAGGTCTAAAGTGGCCCTGCGCCTGAAGTTCGACGTGTGCAAGGAGCTGAGGGGCCATATTGAGCTCCTGCCTGAGACAGGCTACATTCAGGCCCTGTCCTCTTACTCTGTGCAGCTCAAATTCCTGCCCCGGTGAGCACCTGGGAAGGCCTGGGTGGAGGTGGGAGGGAGAGAAAGAGGATGCTGGGAGGGTGTGGGCTCTAGAGGTGCCCTCCATGCTGATCACTGGCCTGGGGGCATCTGCATGCTGCCTTTTCTACACATGCAACATGGAAGATTTGCTGCCTGCCAGGGCAAGGTGACCCGTGGCCTCCCACTGGGTGGCATACACCTTTGGTTCTGCTGGGACGTGGAGGGCATTCGCTGCTATCTTAACCCTTATGTCCATAACTCCAGAGGTTATGAGCCAGGTTCTACACACATTAAGGTTTGTTTCTCCTTCTCCAGGGTGTCCCACATCCTCCCTCTTCCAGGCTCTTTTCAGGCTCCCTTGGCATGTCCTCTGGTTTCTGTCTTTTACCAGGTGGACATTGGTTTATTCACTTAGCTCTCTCTCTTTTTTTTTTTTTTTAAGAGGTTTTCACTGTAGGGCGTGTGCGCTCGCCAGACAGACAGAGAGAGACAGAGAGACAGAAAGCGAGAAATCACCCCCCAGGGGGATGGCCACGCCGCAATCCCTTCTCCTCCATTCTCCTCTCGGGATCTTGGGCACGCACGCACGCACATGCGCCCGGCGTGAGTTTTAAGCCACCGGGTCCAGGACGTGAACCGCGGTCGACTACGTGGAGTCATAGCCATTACGCGACATAGCCATTACGCTAACTGCTGGTCCCCTCACTTAGCTCTTATAGTGCCAAGAGGTTTATTCCAAGCTCTTATAGCTGGAAGTCCCCTTATATTTATACTGCTGGTTATCCCCGAGCTGCTGGTAGCTCCTGCCACTAAGTGGCCACCCGGTACCAGGAACCAGGGTCAGAACAAAGGACCAGGAAAGTGGGCACAGCAGGATAGGGACTGAGGAGGAGAATCTGCCTCTGGGCATGTGACCTGAGAGGGCTGAGGGGGCAGAGGCAGTTTGTTAATGTTAGAACTGTGTGGCTAGCAGGTGGCACAGTGGTTAAGGTGCTGGGCTCCCTTACACCCCATGGCTTGATACTCATGCTGAATGTACATCCGTGCCCAAAGTCCTAAGAAGAAAATGGAGGAGAGGGGATTGCAGTGTGGTTATGCCCCTGGAGGGTGATTTCTTGCTTTCTGTCTGTCTGTCATTCTCTTTCTCTCCAGTGAGTGCACACACTCTAATAACAAAAATCTCTGTAATAAATAAATAAATAAATAAATACAATGAGATCATTAAATTAATAACATTGATTTCCCTTTGTAATGGGAGAGCAAACTATTTTTAAGTAATTATGCACTTTCAAAGTTTTTTTTAGTATCCTTTCATAAGTTACAAACTCCTCATTAATTTCAAACATGATTGTTGAATTTACTTGTATTTTCTTTTTCTTTTTCTTTCTTTCTTTCTTTTTTTTTGGAGAGGTTTTTCGCTATAGGGCACGTGCACTCACCAGACAGACAGAGAGAGACAGAGAGACAGAAAGCGAGAAATCACTCCCCAGGGGGGATGGCCACGCCGCCAATCCCTTCTCCTCCATTCCCCTCTCGGGATCTTGGGCACACACGCACACACGCCCGGCGTGAGTTTTAAGTCACCAGGTCCAGACACGAACCACGGTCGACTACGTGGGAGTCCAGCAACATAGCCATTACGCTAACTGCTGGTTCCCTGGTCATTATTTCTTTAAACATATTTTCTTCTCTTCACCATTTTCTGGGCCTCCAATGACACATATTATTAGGTTGCCTTATATCATCTCACAGGTTATCAAGGATCAGCTTTTTTGTGTTGTTGTTTTGTACTTACGTTGTTCTCCTGGAGTGATTTGCCGCTTATAGAGACTCAAAACATATCCGAAGACCTCTGACATCCACACATGCACGTGCTGTGCATTGATTCCATGTGAGAGCAGGCAGTTTGGAACAATGTGTATCTCATAGTTCTTACATTTCATATACAGTCAGCCCTTTGAATCTGCAGATTTCACATCCATGTACTCAACCAAACACAGATAGAATGTCCTCTGACCACGTGGATAAGGAGGGCAGGCTGACTGTAAGGGAATGAGCATTCTTGAATTTTGGTAGCTGTGGGGAGCCCTGGAAACAATTCCCACATATACCAAGGGATGACTTCCGTAGCTTTTTCCATAGCATGATTCAAATGTGCCACTTATAGGTCAGTTTTACTGCAGTTTTGCAAAATGTAAAGAGAAGCATGGGGCCAGCTGGTGGTGTGGAGGTTAAAGCAGCTGGATCCCACACGGCCTGCTGAGCAGTTTGAGTAGCAGACCAGGCAGCTTGAGAAACACGCAGGGAACACGTGTGTACACACCCTAAATCCCGAGAGGAGAGTGGGGAAGGGACTGCAGCATGGCCAATCCCCTATTCCATTCCCAGGGCCTGATTTCTTACTTTTTTCTCTCTCTCTTTGTCTCTCTCAGGTGAACACACACTTAGTATGTAATATAGTAAAACTTAATAAAGAAATAAGCATTTAAAAAGAAAGAAGAAAGATGGGGCCAGCAGGTGGCATAGTGGTTAAAGCACAACTCCACGAGGCCAACTGCGGTTTGAGTCCTGGACCTGGTGGCTTGAAAATCACGCAGAGCATGTGTGCATGCATGCCCAAAATCGCAGGAGGAGAATGAAGGAGAAGGGATTGCAGCACAGCCATCCCCCACACACCGGGGGTGGTTTCTCACTTTTCCTCTCACAGTTTCTGTCAGTCTCTCTCCAGCAAGTGCATGCACCCTATGGCAAAAAAAAAAAAAAACAAATGGGGACTGGCAGGTGGTGTGATGGTTAAAGGCGCTGGATTCCTATATGGCTGACCATGGTTCAAGTCCCAGACCTGGCAGCTTGCTCTCTCTCTCTCTTTGGTCAAGTTAAAAACAATAATAATGATAAATAAAATAAAGGAAATAATTCTTTAAAGAAAAAAAAATGAAAGAAAGAAAAGTATGCTCTAGGCTGGCCCCATGGTGGTTGAGGGAGCCAGGTCCCACATGTCTAACTGTGGTTTGAATCCCAGCCCCAGTGGCTCAAAAGACACACTGGACATGTGTGTGTACTTGCCTAAAATCCAGAAGGGATAGAGAAATGGAGAAGGGATTACAGCATGATCATGCCCCATTAGGAGGGTGCTTCTCCTCTCTCTCTTTCTCTGTCTGTCTCTCTATCTCTCCATCTATTTCTGTGTATGCACCCCCTAGCAGTTAAAAAAAAATTGTTTAAAGAAAAATATTCAGAGGTGTCAGCGAGTGGTGTGGTGGATTAAGGTGCTGGATTCCCACATGGCCAACTGCAGTTCAAGTCCCAGACCTGGCAATGTGCTTTCTTTCTTTCCCTTTCTCTCTTTCTCTGTCTCTCTGGTCAAATTAAAAAAAAAAAAAAATGATGATGATAACAAATGGAATTAAATAAATAAATAAATCTTCAAAAAAGAAAAGAAAAGTATTCAGGTATGTCCTGCCTCTTTCAGAGTCTCCCTCCCAGAAGATGCAGGGAAGTATTTTGACAAGGAAAGCCGAGTTCTGGAGGCCCCGATGACTATATGGGTGGCTGATCAGGTCAGTGTGACATTTCCTGGGAAGGCCAGGTGCTCCTGGGAGACAGAGGGCTGCTCTGGGAAAACAGACTCCACACCTGAGCAAGTCCCCCAGAAAAAGCAGGGTACCTGCCTCCAGAGTCCATCTTCACTTGCCTTCTGTGGGGTGTCGGATGGCCTCCTTCCCACTCAACTCCACACAGAGAGAGAGAACAGATGAGGGTCTCGGATTGATAACACACACACACACACCCACACACACATGCTCAAGCCACAGCTCCCCGCCTTTTCTTTTTCTTTCTTTCTTTTTCTTTTTTCTTTTTTCTTTTTTTTTTTTTTTTTTTTTGTCAATCCTTATGACTCTGCTTCCCTGTCCTTAAAAGTCAAGGGACAACAGGGGAATGAATGTCCCTAGCAGAGAGACTCGTGTTCTGGAAGCAGGACGCTGTTGGCTGTGGGGCAGTGGGAATGCTAGTGCCTTTACTACGTGGGGAAACGTCGGCATGTCTGCAAGAGACCGGGAGCGTGCCCTTGCTGTTTGTGCTTTAGATCAAACCACTGGAGTTCACTGTCCACGCCATTGTCACCACCTCGGACTTGGAGGTCAGCCCCTCAGAGGTGGACTTCGGCTACTGCACCGTCTACGAGGCCATCAGGACGGAAATCAGCCTCCACAACCACTCACTGCTGCCACAGGAGTTCGGCTTCGTGGGCGTGCCCAAGGTACTTCCTGTGGTGAGCTCAGAAGCTATGGGGACAGGGCTAGACGGCTGCCACTCCAGGGGCCAGGCACCAGGCAGCTCTACCTGTCCCCAGGCACCTCACCCAGGCTGTTGCCTCTCAGCTTGTCCCTCTCCTTGTTCCCACAACCTCGTCTCCACTGGCCCTGTGCCTCTTGGTCCCTTTGCCTCTCCAGCTCTTTCTATCCAGTGCACTCACAGGCCTCCAGACTTCTCTCCCTTCATTCCAGAACTTTCTTCTGCCTGGGCCCCCACAGGGCTGGCAAGATGAGCCCGAGCCTGGCCACCTCCAACCCTCCCTGGGCTACCCCACCACCAATTCTGCATCCACTCACACACACACACACACACACACACTCTCACTCACAGTTTCACACTCAGTCCCACTGACCACTCACACTCATTCGCTTACACCAACATATTCACTCACTTGCACACACTTGCTCGTGCTCACACACTTGATCACATGTACATACACTCACGCTAACATTTTCACTCAGTCACACTGAACACTTGCACACTCACACTCTCTCATCCTTCCATGTGCATATGTTCTACAGTCACACATTCATGCTCACGCTCACACTCTCATACTCACCCCTACCGTGTGTGTGTCCCATGACGCTCCCCACAGAGCGCCGGTGTCACTTTGGTGTTGGTGTGCTCTGTTGTCCAGTTTGTGGACATCCAGCCTAACGATGGGTTTGGGACAATCCTGCCCCTGGAAACTCTGCATCTTGATGTGATCTTCCAGCCCCTCAAAGCCAAAGAATACAGCTTCGAGTTGATCTGCAAATCCGAGATTAACCGGTAAGTCCACAGAAAGAGAGACTGTGTGGCAGACAGGGTCACTGCTCAGGGGCAGCCCTTCCCACCCTCTGCACACCCTGGCCAGCCTCTGACCCCACCAGCCAGGCACTGGGCAGCACTGCCCTCCAGCAGGAACCTCGCACTCAGTGAGGAGGTGTGAGCCTGTCAGGAATGTGCATATATATGAGCGTGTGAGTGTGCCATGTGAGTGCATATAAGCATGTGTATACGTGTGAGTGCATGTGTGAATGTGTATGAATGTGCATTGTGAGTGCATGTGTATGAGCATGCGAGTGTGTAAGAGTGTGACAGTGTGTATACAAATGCATTCGTGTGCATATACACGTGTGTGAATGTGCAGGTATGGTGTGCAGCGTGCCTACCTGGACACAGGTGGCCCCGAGTGTGAGCCCCATGTGCTCTGGTGTGCTGTGCGAGGGCCACTCTCTCCATCTCCCTGAGCCTGAGAACAGAACCAAGGAAGTGGTGGGAAAGGAGACGCGGTACTAGATGGGGAGGTGGTTGGTTGGTAATAAAGGCCCAGGTCTTATTACAGCCTGGGATTATCAGCCTCAAGTGACAGTGACAGTGCCAATGCAGAGGCCAAGATGGTAGTATGTCAAACACCAGAGCATCCCAGCTGGTGACCCTCCCAGTTCTAGCCCCACCCCCCCAACCCCTCCTGTCTCTCCTTTTCTGTTCTCTTTTGTCCCATCCCCGCCTCTGCAACCTGAGTTGCTGGTCCATCCTGGCTGGGACCAAGGCAGCCCTGAGTGCAATCAGCCAGGTACCTTCACCTAAGGGACCAAGCCTTACCCTGGACCCCAGCACCCTGGGCAGAACCAGCGGTCCATCCTGGAGCTTACACGCCTATGGGGAAGTCAGGAATGAGTTCTTGGGCAGAGCGATTTTAGAGAGCAAAATGCAGAGTTAGAACCCACATAAAGAAACCAGATGCTGCCCACCCCCTGCCAAGGGAATCCCACCCCCTGGACTGCCTGACTTCTCCTGCTTAATGCTTTCTCAAATGTGCTACCAGTGTGCATGAACTTCTGCAACCTCCCTCTCAGCCTCTGGAAAGCAAGTCCTATGAGATCAGGGGCTTTTATGTTTGTCTGTTAAGATAGCCCCAGTGGTAGAAGCTCCATAAATATTGATAGAATGAATGTGTGTGAGTGTGTGTCATTAAAAAAAAAAATACAGGAACTGGCAGGTGGTGTGGTAGTTAAAGTTGCTAGACTTCTACATAGCCGACCATGGTTCAAGTCCCAGATCTGGTGGCTTGCTTTCTCACTTTCCCTCTCTCTCTTTCTCTGTCTCTTTCTGATCAAACTGGAAAATAATAATAATAATAATTAATAAATAAATAAAGCTAAATAAATAATTTAAAAAAAACATTTACAACATTCTTTTTTTAAAGAATTATTTATTTAACTTTAGTCATTCATTTATTTTTAATTTGACGAGAGAGAGACACACACAGAGAAAGAGAGAGAGAGAGGGAAAGTGAGAAAGCAAGCCACCAGTCTGGGACTCGAACCATGGTCAGCCATTTGGTAGTGTCCAGCACCTTAACCACCACCTGCTGATCCCAATAAAATAATTCTTTTAAAAAAAGAAAAGAAAAGAACTATACATGTAAACTGAAATTACCCAAAAGTAAGACAGGAGTCGTCTTAGCAAGAGCTACAGGAAGCTCATACCCTACAACCTCAGTAGATAAAGCAGAGTGGACAGGTGGGTGTGCAGCTTAGGACGAGCAACTGCTGACCTGCCCAGATGGGAGCCTCACGTCCCCAAGCACATCCCAAGGACATGACATCCCAAGGACAGCTCCCTGCCTGACATCCCAAGGACAGCTACTTGCTGGCTCCCTGGGACAGCCAACAGAAGTCCCTGGCCTGAGTCGTCTCACCCACACCCCATCCACTCCCAAACTTTCCTGCCGTTTAGACCAGAACTCAGCCTATCCTTGACCACTCATTCTCCCACACCTCACAGCTAAATTGTCAGCAAGTCCTTCTGTGTCACCCAATCACCTCCACACCCCTCACCTGGATACCGGAGGACTTCCTCCCCTGTCTCTCTGCCTCCGCATTGTTAGTGCACACCCCACAGCCAAGTGACCTGTCCTTGCCCCTCCCCAGAGCACAGCTTCCTGCAAGCTCCTGAACACCAGGCACAACTCAACCCCTACCCACTGCAGGGGTGCTCGCCCTTTCACCTGCTGATAAGCACCTGGGTCACACCCAGCTTCTGGCGATTATCCCAAAATTCCAAAAGGAGGGAGAAATGGAGAAGGGATTGCGGTGTGACCCCGCCCCCAGAGTGCTTTCTCTCTCTCCCTTTCTCTCTCTCTCACTCTGACAAGCACCCTCTGGCAATTTTTTTTCAATTTACTTTTATATGTAATGATTATTACATTTTATGCATCTATGGTCTTTTCACTTAATTGAGTACTAATAATAATCTCAATGATTTCTCCATCCAGAATTATTTTTTCCTTTTTGCTTTTTTTCTTTTGCCTTTTCTTTTTTTCTTTTATTTCTTTCTTCTTCTTCTTTTTTTTTAATATTTAGAGCTTGTGGTCACAGAACATAAAAATATACATTGAAATATTTCAACATTGGGAAGCCAGCAGGTGGTGTGGGAGTTAAGGAACTAGACTCCCACATTGCTGACCACAGTTTAAGTCCCAGACCCAGTGGCTTAAAATTCACATCAGGTGTGTGTGTGTGTGTGTTAAAAATCACATCAGGTGTGTGTGTGTGTGTGTGTGTGTGTGTGTGAATGCTCAAAATCCCGGGAAGGGAAGGGAGGAGAAGGAATTATGGCATGCTCATCCTCCCGGGGATGATTTCTCACTTTCCTTCTCTCTCTCTGTCTCTGGTGAGTGACTATACCCTATGGCAAAAACTTAAAAGAAAAACGAAGAGATTTTTCACCATTGGGCCAGCAGGTGGCATAGAGGTTAAGGTGGCTGGATCCCCATGACCTAATATGCAATTGAGTTCCAACCAGGAGGTTTGACAATCACACAAAGGTACATGTGCGTGCATACCCAAAGTACTGAGAGGAGAACGGAGAAGAGATTGCAGCATAGCCATGCCCTCTGAGGGCTGATTCCTCACTTTCCCTTTCTCTCCATTTCTCTGTCTCTGGTGAGTACATGTACCTGATAGCAAACTAAAACAAAGAATGAAATAAAGAAAATGTTTCAACATATAAATACATTTTTGTTACAAAGTATAATTGAGCAATCAGTCTTATCCTTTTAAGTATTACAAAATTAAGCATAAAAATGTACTTAATTAGGATAACAATTAATGAAGAAAGTGTAAAAGAAATAGAAAGTCAAGGAGAATATGGAATGCCAAATTTCCAACTCTTAAAATACCCCAATATCTGTTCTTTTTTTTAATAGATGATGGCAGGAATAAACTCAGATTTCCCATGACTTTAAAAAAATGTGTTCCTGGGACCCAGCAATTAGAGTAATGGCTATGTCATTGGACTCCCATGTAGTCGACCGTGGTTCGAGTCCCAGACCCAGCAGCTTAAACTCACGCCGGGCTCGTGTGCGTGCGTGCCCATGATCCCGAGAGGAGAATGGAGGAGAAGGGATTGCAGCGTGGCCATCCTCCCTGGGGGGTGATTTCTCACTTTCTGTCTCTCTGTCTCTCTCTGTCTTTCTGGCAAGAGCACTTGCCTTATAGCAAAAACCCCCCCCAAAAAAAAAAAAAAAAAAAGTGTCCCTTATTTACTTATTTAGCTAAAGAGTGTGTGTGCATGCTGGAAAGAGACAGAGAGAGAGAACATGAGAAATCATCCCTGTGAGGGCATGGCCATGCCTCAATCCCTTCTCCTCCATTCTCCTCTCAGGATTCTGGGCACACACACATGAACCTGGCATGTTTTTCTTTTTTAAAACAACTATTTTATTTAACTGTATTTACTTATATTTAATTTGACCAGAGAGGGGCCAAGAGAGAAAGAAAGAGAGAGGGGAAAAGAGAAAGCAAGCCACCAGTTAGGCATATGGGAGTCCAGTATCCTTAATTACCACATCACCTGCCGGCCCTACTGGAATGTTTTCAAGTCACCTGGTCAAAGACTCAAACTGCAGGGCCAACTAGGTGGGATCCAACTGTCTTAGTCCCTGTGCCATTTGCTGCCCCCTGCCATGACTTTTTTTGGGGGGAGGGGAGGAAGAGAGGTTTTTGCTATAGGGCACATGTGCTCACCAGAAAGACAGAGACAGAAAGCAATAAATCCTCCCCCAGGGGGGATGGCCACGCAATCCCTTCTCCTCCATTCTCCTCCCGGGATCTTGGGCACGCACGCACACGTGCCTGGCGTGAATTTAAGCAACCGGGTCTGGGACTCAAACCGCAGCCGACTACATGGGAGTCCAGCAACACAGCCATTACGGCATCTGCTGGCCCCCTGCCATGATTATTTTTAAGAATCAGTTTTGTTGTTTGTTTGTTTTTAATTGCCAGAAGGCATGTATACTCACCAGTGAGAGAGAGAGAGAGAGAGAAAGCATGTCCCAGTGGGCCTGGTTGCACCACGATCCCGTCTCCTCCATTCTCCTCTTGGGATTTTGGACACACACACTTGGCATGATTCTCAAGCCACCAGTTGGGACCTCAAATCATGCATCAGCCATGTGTGATCCAGCCATCTCAAACTCCATGCCACCTGCTGACCCTGGTTTTAGTTCTTGAATGTCAGTAATATTTAACGTAATAAACCAGAGATGACCTCCTTTAGCACTGTCTAAAGTGGTGATTCACATTTCAGCTCCTCCTAAATGTCCACAGGGATATGCAGTATCTGTCAATGGGGCACTGGGTAACTGAGTGCCGCCTCCTATGGCTCTTCAGACACACCGGTCCCCGTGCACCAGGTGCTTTGCACACGGGGGCTGTTTACCCCCACTCAGAGACCACCTCGCATGCCACAGAGACCCCAGACACCCCCACACAGCTGACACTGCCCACTGCTCACTTCCAGGTCCTTCAAGCTGTCTTGCCGAGCCGTGGGTGTCCACCCGCCCCTGGAGCTGTCCCACTACCAAATCAAGTTTGCGGCCACTGCCTTATATGGCACCTCTGTGGCCACACTGTACGTCATCAACTCTCACCTGAGCATGAACTCGCTGACCCACTCTGTGCCCCGCATTGGCTCGGGGGATGCCGCCCCGGTGGGGCCAACATCTTTCGAGTTTCTGCTACCCCCAGACTCTCCCATCACCATCTCACCCTCAGTGGGGACCGTGTTACCAGGAAAGGTGGGTGTGGTCCCCACAGCAGGCTGGGAGGCACGGGCTTCAAGCATTTACCCCTCAGGTGCCTGGCTCTGTCCACACTTCAGCACGGGGCGGGGGCGGGGTTCAACCCTGACAGCAGGTGTGGGAGTGGTCAGCCTTGCCCCTCACCCAGGGACCCCTGCCCTCTGCTCTGCCCTCAGCGGTCCCTGGTCCAGGTGGCCTTCCGGCCTGTGCTGCCTGACAAACTGATCCGCCAGGAAGCCTTTCAGGCCCTGAACAAAGAAACTGAGACCAAACCGGTGTGTGGGGTGCTGGGAGGAGGGGCATGGAGACACTGAAAGGAGTGTTGGGCTAAGCCTCCTTCCCCCTCTTTATTTTTTTTAATTTTATGATTTCTTATTCATGTTTAATTGTTCTACATTTCTATAACACAATATGGTTTTTCTTTTTTTTTTTTTAAGAATTCTTTGTTTTATTTTATTATTATTATTTTTAATTTGATCAGAGAGAGACAGTGAAAGGGAAAGTGAGAAAGCAAGCCACCAGGTCCAGGACTCGAACCATGATGGTCATGTGGGAGTCCAATGCCCTCACCATCACACCACCTGCCGTCCCCACAATATGGTTTTTCTAAGTGTGCATGCAGTACATGACAATCGAATCAAGCCCAGAGGATGGTTGTCAGAGCTTGGGCATCAGGCCCCTCTGCACTGGTTAGCAGGTGGGGCTTCAATGAAGGCCAGAGGGTCACACACAAGTACAGGGTCTCTCAGCCTCTAGGGAAAGGCACAGAAACAAGCCCACAAATGTGCACTGAGCTGAGAGGTGTCCCGCCTGTAATAATCCCAACAAACATCCTGCCCTGGGGAGGCCGCAGTGTGCAGGCTCAACCCCACATGCACCCTGACTACACCAAGCTACATGGCTGCTGCCCCACAGCACACGGGAAGACGCCCTTCCCAGCACTGAGCTCGCTGGGCTCTCACGGCATGCACCCCTGGGGAAAGCCTCAGTGTTCAGTCTCCTGCAGGACAGTGGGGCACGGAGGACACGCGCCCAGACAAAGACCTCCCTTTCTGTCTTCCTCTCCCATGCATGAAGGCAGACACTGGGCAGTGGGCAGTCCTGTGGGCTGGGGTCTCACAGACGCTTGTTCGTTTCCATTGCTCAATCACTTTTGCACCTACGCCAGTCTGTCTTAGTGGTTCTCCCAATTCCTGCAGATTCCTGCACTCAGGGGCTGGCCCAGGCTGGCTAGGCTGGCTCAGCTAGACCCCAGAGAAGTCATGGTGGGGTGGTGTCTGCTGGCTGAGGGCATAGTCCTTGGGGAAATCCCAAAGCCAGCCACTTCCCCCTCAGTCCCGAAAGGACACAGCCGCCTTGAGGAGGGAACTGCGGAAACTGTCCCTCTCAGCAGTTCGATTACAGGGCCGGGATCGGCCATTCCGGGTCTCCACCCCCAACACCCTGGAGCTGCAGAAGGAGAATCTCAAAACCAGGTAGACAGTGTTGGGGGGGTGGGGGGGGTTCCTTCACCCACTTCCCTCCAAGCCTCTCTGATGGAACCTATCCTGGCCCCCCCGTGGTTTCCCGCACAGACTGTCTGGAGCACAGTGGTATTTACCAAGTGGCTAAAAGTCTATTTCAGGCACAGCTTGATCCAGGTGCTGTCTTCCTTGGCGTCTTCCTGGGCCTTCCATCACTCCCCAGGTTAGGGGAGAGGCTGCTGTCCCTGACTGCCCAAGCAAGCAAAGCAAGCCCCCATAAAGCTCTGATGGGCCTGGATAACTTGCTTCCCTGGGCCCATCCTTGCTATTCCAGAAACATGGCTTTCTGCTGAGATATCAAAGCACCTGATCCTCCCTCTCCACCTGGGGCAGGAGAAGAGGCTGACCTGGACTCTGGGGTGGAAGAGGAGGCTCTGTTGGGGGCTAGAGAGGGTAGGAAGGCCAGCCGGTCAGACAAAACTGGGACAGATCAGGGTGACCCCCGTATTCCTGCCCCTTACCTCTCTGGTATTCCCCAGGGAGACCACCCTGAGCTGAGGTTCCTAGGGAGAAGGTGTGGCCTCGTGCCCCCGCCTCCCCACCAAGGACAAGGAGCTCCCACACCAAGGAGCTCAGAGGCAGAGACTTGCAGGTGGGCCCGGGCTTCCGGGTGGGCAAAGTGGGGACAGAACATGAATATGCTCTACCGCCCTCATTTCAGCTCCGAAGAGTACCAGGCTGCCCAAGCTGCCCTGGTCAGAGCTTTCCAGGGGAAGTTTGACAAGTTCGTGGTCCCCTGTGTTGTCGCCAGTGGTGACATCAAAGACAGGAAGGGACTGGAACCCATGAGCTTCAGGTATGGGGTGCTCTGGCCAGGATGGGAAGCATGGTGGTCTGAAAACTCGTTGTCCCTCCTACGGGCCAGATCTGGGGCCTGGGCAAGGCCCTCTGTGCTCAGGGTGCCCTCACCCCTGCCCCCAGCCCTCACAACACCCTGTTTTTGGAGTTGTGGTGTCCGGCAGTGGCCCCGTCTATCGTGGTGACATCCGACAAAGGCAAGACCGCCTTTAACTTCGGTGACGTTGCTGTAGGTGAGTCCCGATGGGGCCCGGACACTCAGCTCCCCCCACACACATACACACACGCCTCACAGACACACACCTGGCTCCCACACCCTACTTCAGGACAAGGCCGACTCTTTGGGGCCTGGGGGTTGTGGCCTGACTCTCCCTGCTCATTTCAGGACACCATGGCATAAAGAAGGTCTCCATCCAGAACATCTCCCCAGAGGACCTTGCCGTATCCTTACATATATACCAGATCCCACAGCTTACAGGGGCGGGTGGGGAGGGCCTGCTAGGGGTGATGGCAGAGCCCAGAGAGGTCGTGTCTCCCTCCTTGACGCCGGGCACCCAGGTGGAGTTCTCAGTGCTGAACCCTAATGGCCCCTTCCTCCTGCTG